GGTTGGTGTTCACACGTTCTGATGAGTGGTGTTTACTGCTGAGGTAGTACACAGACAGTAATTGCAAAAACACTTCCGATAGGGAAAGGAAAAAGAGCTTCTTCAGCTCTACTGTTTTCCCTCATTTTGTAGTATAAGTTATTGCATCAGGCAGCCTGTGCTAGGCAGGAAGTCCTGTAAATATGAGGCTACAGCCTTTGTTAGGTATGTCATTGTTCCATACGCTCCACTTGGAGCGCTGTCGTAGAAGAAGAGGCATATTCCTGTGGCCAGGTCTTGCTCCAGAAGGCCTTCGGTTGCTCCAAATGATTTCTGTGGAGGGGGGAAAAAAAAAGGCAGGAGCAGGGAAAATCTGATATCTATGCTCAGATTTCAAAATAATACTAGCTCATGACCACTCCTGTATCTGCACTGAAAACAGTTCAGTTTTCCTTCATTTGCTTCTTACTCAGAAGTAGATGACAATGTATACTACTCAGGGCCCTGCCATGCATTTAAATGAAAGCTGGACAGAAACCAGCTATAGAGTGGTTACACATTTTCAAGCACTGTGTAGCTGGGCTGGCTCTTCTTATAGCTGGATGGATATTTTTATGGCATAACAATTACTTTGCATGTGTGGCCAGTTTAAGCTTCTTACACAATCAATCAGTTAATTTTTTAATATATGTAACATGTAGCAGGAGCCTTAGTGTGCCTGTACATGCGCAGGGAGGCTGCTCCGACACACTGTAATTACAGTGCGTCAGAACAGGCTCTATTAATTGAGTCTGATGGGGAACGTCTAGTTTATCTGCACTACTGGATCCAGAACTCATTAGAAACTCAACCAGTGATTCTCAACCAGACTGCTGTGGCATCCTGGGGTGCCACAAGATCCTCTTAAAGGTGCCGTAGGGTGCTGCTTAATATTGGCATGGTTAGGCGTACAAACACTGACATATGATTCACTAGATAGACCCAGGTTAGCTACAAATACTTAAAAAGTCTGAGGTGCAATTGATTGAAATTACACATTTTCTGTAAGTGGCCTGGCTTAGATCGGTAGCGAACAGAACGCACATTCTCCCTTTGGTGGGGGTGGGCAGCAAGTCTTAGATCGGGTTCCGCCATTTTTAAATCAGTCTATGTGGGCCAAGTTTCTGTTCTGTTACTGGTACAGACCAGTTTCTGATCACTTATACTGGTAAAAGTGTAATGTCTCTACCTGGCCCCAAAAATTTGAAATAGGAATCCATAATCAAAAACACTCGGACCTTTTGTGTTCTTTTGGAGTTCTCTACCACAGAAGATTTGCTCTATTACTTTCCCATCGTCCAAAAATTAGTAAAAGCTAATGGCTGGCATTTTCCAAGGAGGTCTCGAGTCTAAAGAGGTTGGGAACCATCAGGCTAGATGGTTACTTTGTGTTTTTTTTGCCCATTCTCAAGTGACATGAGACTAAATAATTTGTTTCAACTTAAACAGTGGCTTGTTGAGTTGAATGGTTTTGTAAAGCAAACCATTTTCAATAGGCTGCCGGGGCAAAATGTGTTTCCCCTGATCAGGCAGATAAATGTCTTAAAGCCATGCTGTTTCACCCTGTTCAAATCCCTGAAAAACCGTTAATACAGAAAGAAGTGTTTAGTGGTGGATTCTCAAGGATAAGACACAGGTGTGTTACAAAAGTAGCTAGGTGACAACTTCCAAGGGACTTGAGCAGGGTGGGAACCTTTCACATTTGGAAACCTAGTAGATGGAACAAGATCTGACCCTAAGACTTTAGGAAATATTTTCTCATTACAACTGTGAAAACCTGCCCCAGAGAGGCTGTGTACCTTTAATTCTGTTAATTGAAGAGGTTTTAATATTCTGTATGTATTTCAAGAATAAGCTTAAATGACTTGTTCTTTACGGGGAAAGAAAAGGAAGAGAATTTCTCATGCACACAGAAAACATAGCCCAACCCTGCCCTCAGGTAACAGTACCCACCTGGTCCTGAAGAAACAGATCGTTAGCCATCTGCACTATTCGATCCACATGGATGATGCCCCCAATGCTAGACACATCTACATCCGACAGCAGTGTGAGAACAAGAATAGCTTCCACCAGCAGCTGCCTATACTCAGGCTGGGGTACATGATTCAGCACGGACTCCACATGCACAGCAAACTTGATTTCACAAGGGGTCATCTGACAAGTCAAGATTGGTTAAATTAGTGGAAAGAAAAACTGACAAACATTAGAGGCCAAGGCCCCAGATTCTGCTGACTTTTAAAACGTGTTGATATTTTCAATGCTACTCATGCAGTGAACGAGATTGCTTGTGTGAATACAGCTTAGTGCTTGCAACACTTTTTGCAGGCCCTGGACTTCACAGGCCAAAAGGTTTATCTGACTTCTAGAAAACTGTCGCTCGATTGCAATCCATCACACACAGACCTTACATACAGAAATGCTGACCGCTTAGTTTGCAAATTCATTTTTGATCATAATGTTATTTCCTGTGACCATCTTTTTGGATCATAGATTGTTTACAAAGCAAACGGTACTGTTGAGATTTAAAAATAACCACCAATTGCTACGCGGCTGAGAGAACAGCCTCATTTCTCTAGCAGAGCTATGGAGATGTCACATGACATGGTAGCCTCAGGAGGCAAGGTTTATTTAGCCCAATTCCTAATAACAGTAAAATTAGGTCTGACAGGCCTAAGAACAAATCCAATTTACATTTGTCTACATGCTAGAGAACGCACTTCCACAAAAGAAAGGGCTGCAATA